GATACAGTTCGCATCAATTCGGTACGAATTCGCAAAATAAGGGTAAAACGCGAATTGTTGCATCATTTTTACGCTTAAAAGTTGCGATTCGTCAATTCGTCTTTAGACACTTTGTCCACACATCTCTGTACCACAGCTAATAGTTCCATTGTCAAAAATTATAGTTTACCTGGATGATGTTCAATAGTAGCTCAATGTAGTTAGTAGGGAGAAAAAACTATTTTGTCACTGAATATTAACTATAAGCTCATATGTAGAATATAAGCTGAATAAATAAAGAAGAATGTTGTGTTTGTTGTTCGTTAGATATGTCTTAATTGAATATATATCTTGAATTAAATGTTGACGATTAAAATCGAATTGATAACGTAACGAAAACTGTATCACCACCGTCGCTATCTTGCGGTCGCTGTTCTTGCTGTTTATTGTCCAATGGTTGTTGTCTGCTCGGTTGTCGCTGTCGTTGTGGCTGCTGATCTAGTTCTGCTTTTTCTGGACATTCTGTCGGTGGATAAGCACATGCATAGTGAATTTTAAACGATTGATTTGTTAATAGATGAGTACATGTTACATTATGAAGGTCGGCTGGATTCATTGGGCATCATTCGCAAAGAGGATGCTAGATTCTTTCTTTCTTCTGTTCAGTTTTGGTTAATCAGACGTTCTTACTGTTTGACCGCTTCTCGCAGGAATACAACAATAGCGTGGTGCACCAACTATCATTGGTTGTGGAAAATCCAAACGTTTACATTTTGTTGCTGGTTGATTTGATTTACAGCACAAACATAAAGCTTTTCCAGAATTTAAACAGGCTGTATAAGCTTGCGGAATACAATGTTGAATACAAAGTATCAGGAATATAATAGCAACATTCATTTCCATAACGGATCCTAGTTATGAGGTGACGATGTTGCTTTGTTATTCGGGAGAAACACAAATGATATAATATTATACACAAGGAATAGAAGCATAAACCAACAAAACTATCATATCAGTGTTGAGTGAAATATGTTCTTTCTTTTCTCTAATATGCAAGCAAGAAAGTAATTAAATGTCTATCGCCACAGCATAAATATACAGTTGATTTGTTGTTGATGTTATTGTCAAAGCAGAAAAACAACACTTATGAAGGTGAAAATACAACCTTGGATATGCGTAACGTATGATTACAAGCACCAATCTATCAAGTAAATAAATACTCCATAGCTCATAAAATGACCAAAAATGAAATTGTACCTGGTCCATTTCCTCCGCAATAGCCATCACGTGCTTATATGCTCTCATTTTTTTTCGAAGACGTTGATAAGATATGAGTTACTCTCTGATCGAAATTTCTTGCCTCAACTGGTACATCATGATAAACTTGATTGGGACCCCTGATTTTTTCATAGGTTTACTTCCTAAAGTGTCTAGTTTCAGAATCTGAAAACTGCAGGTCTCGCCTATCGTTCAAAGGTTGTTAAAAAAACATCGGATTACATTATATTTTGGTACAGATGATATATCTACTACACCGCAATACCTTGAGGTTGCTACCTGGAATACCTTGAGGTTGCTAATGAGGATTAGCAAGTAAGGCGCCGGAAATTCGAAAGGAGCACACAAAAGTAAATTTCCTTGAAGCATACATGGTCAGATACAGCTCGACGAGTAGATTCGGAATATGTTCTTGGAATTGAACTTTCATCAAGTTTGGAGGAGAGAAATCTTGAAAATACGAAGAAAGTATGAAAAATGGCACTTTTGACCCTGTTTGAGAAAACTATTATAAGATTATAATAGCTGATTTTGTAGTTCAAACTTCAAACTTCCCTATAATGAAAACCGGAGGAAAAACTACCGCTTGGTCATCGGAAAATCTTCAAAGCAAAAAACGTAACGGACTTATTTCTTCGTAACGGAGTTAAACGTTTTTTGCACTTTTTTGGCTGAACTACATCACCTTCGAATTTCAATAAAAAAAAGCCAAAACTTTTTCTTAATGAGGTATGATTGTAGCCCACACATTTCTGATTAAAATGAAACGTCTCCCAGGTCGGACCCCGCGCGTTTTGGGGGGGTTTTCGGCCCTTTTTTGATGTCTAAGAGGGAAGCATTGATTATATGCTAAATAGATAAGGCACACAACTACAAGTTATTTTTACATAAAATCAAATTGTCTTTCTTTCGTTTTATTTAAATAATAGCTATTAACATCACTTGCATGTATACATTGTATACAACTACGCAATATTTTACGGTCTCTTTCGAAATACGCAATAATTATTAATTTTATTTTAGATAAATATGTTCTACTGAAAAATCACATTAGGAACGATTGTTTTTAGTGATATATAGTTTTACAGCTATTCTTATATAAAATTTGTATGTATCTCATATCTCTTTTTTCTTTTAATAATTTTACTAAAAATATTTTTTTATATATTATATAATTAGAGAAGATTTTGAAGATAAAGTTTCTTATTCATTTCGAAAAACTATGCCAAAAGCTAAGTGCAATCGCTCTCTACCCGCAAGACCTTCATGGTTTTCCCCGAATTCGGTGTTTCTCCAAAACACCTTCCTGTCTTGGCGTGGAAAAGCTGTGTTTGTCCATTTCATTAGAAATCGGTGTTTCTCCAAAACACCTTCCTGTCTTGGCGTAGAAAAGCTGTGTTTGTCCATTTCATTAGAAATCGGTGTTTCTCCACAAGAACTTCGTGTTTTTCCAGTAGAAATCGGTGCCTACCCACAAGCATGTCCACAAGAACTTCATCTCTCTGCAGAAGAGCTTCAGTGTTTTTCCTGCAGAAGCCCATGTACGTGCCCAAGAATTTCATGTTTTTCCATGGTGAAATCCATGTTTCAAGCCCCTCGTGGTTTTTAGTGAATAATTCGGTGTTTGTCCACAACAGCTTCCTGTCTTGGCGTGGAGAAAGCTGTGTTTGTCCATTTCCGTAGAAATCAGTGTCTACCCACAAGAACGTCGTGTTTTTGCTGAAGAAATCAGCGTTTCTCCACAAGACATTCATGTTTTCCCAGCGCAAATCGGACTCTACCCCCAAGAACTTCAGGGTTTTGCTTAAGAAACTTCGCGTTTCTCCATTAGATCTTCATGTTTTCTCCAGTAGCAACCGGTATTACTCCATAATAACGTCAACGTTTTTCCTGAAGAAAACGGTATTTCTTCACAAGAACTTCGTGTTTTTCCAGTAGAAATCTGTGTCTACCCGCAAGAATGTCCACCAGAACTTCATCTCTCTGCAGCAGAAATGTTTTTCCTGGAGAAATCCCTGTGCACAAGGAAATCCCTGTTTCTCCGCAACAACTTCGTGTTTTTGCGTCAACTAATCCACGAATCTCGACAAGAACTTCAAGATTTTTTCCTGAAGAGATCCATGTATGTCCACAAGAACTTCATGTCTGTGCAGTAGAACTTCAGTGTTTTTCCTGGAGAATCAGGGTTTCTGCACATTTATGTTTTCCCAGTGCAAATCGGTCTCTACCGGCAAAGCCTTCATGGTTTTTCCCGAATAATTGGTGTTTCTCCACAACAGCTTCCAGTCTCGGCCTGTAGAAGGATGTGTTTGTCCATTTCCGTAGAAATCGGTGTCTAGCCACAAGAGCGTCGTGTTTTTTCCGGAAAAAATCAGCGTTTGTCCACAAGACATTTATGTTTTCCGAGTGCAAATCGGTGTCTACCCTCAAGAACTGCAGGCTTTGGCTTAAGAAACTTCGTGTTTCTCCATTAGATCTTCATGTTTTCTCCAGTAGCAACCGGTGTTACTCCATAATAATGTCAACGTTTTTCCTGAAGAAATCGGTGTTTCTCCACAAGAACTTCGTGTTTTTCCAGTAGAAATCTGTGTCCACCCGCAAGAATGTCCACAAGAACTTCATGTCTCTGCAGCAATGTTTTTCCATTGAGAAATCCATGTATGTGCACAAGGTAATCCCCGTTTCTCTGCAACCACTTCGTGTTTATTCGTTAACTAATCCATGAATCTCGACAAGAACTTCATGTTTTTTCCGGAAGCAACCCATCTTTCTCTAGAAGAACTTAAGGATTTTTCCCGAAGAATTCAACGTATCTCCACAAGAACTTCATGTTTTTTCATTGAAAAATCCCTATGTCCCCACAACAACTTCGTGTTTTTGCGTCAAGTAAGCCATGAATGTCCACCAGAACTTCAAGTTTTCTCCTGGAGAAATCCATTTTTCGCCACAAGAACCTTTTTTTTAAGATTTTTTGCCGAAGAAATCCATGTATGTGCACAAGAACTTCATGTTTTTCTATGGTGAAATCCCTGTTTCCCCTCGTGGTTTTTCCTGAATAATTCGGTGTTTCTCCATAACGGCTTCCTGTCTTGGCGTGTAGAAAGCTGTGTTTGTCCATTTCAGTAGAAATCGCCTAGCCACAAGAACATCGTCTTTTTTCCAGTAGAAATCTGTGTCTACCCGCAAGAATGTCTACCAGAACTTCATGTCTCTGCAGAAATGTTTTTCCTGGAGAAATTCATGTATGTGCACAAAGGTCGAATCCGGTCGTGGTATCTTCTTTGATTCTTTCAGAAGTGAATTCTGTCGGAGTCTCTAGTAACTTAAAAGGCGGTTGTAAAATTACTAAATATGATTAAGAACTTCATGTTTTCCCAGGAGAAATCCCGGTTTCCCCGCAACAACTTCGTGTTTTTGCGTCAAGTAAGTCATCCATTTTTCTCCACAAGAACTTCAACTTTTTTGCCGAAGAAATCCATGTGTGTGCAGAAGAACTTCAATGTTTTTCCTGGACAAATCAGCGTGTCTCACAGGACAATTATGTTTTCCCAGTGCAAATCGGTCTCTACCCTCAAGACCTTCATTGTTTGCCCCGAATAATTCGGTGTTTCTCCACAACAGCTTCATGTCTTGGCGTGTAGAAAGCTCTGTTTGTCCGTTTCAGTAGAAATCGGTGTCTACCCGCAAGAACTTCAGGCTTTTGCTTAAGATATCCGTGTTGGTCCATTAGACCTTCATCTTTTCTCCAGTAGCAATCGGTGTTACTCCATAATAACGTCAACCTTTTTCCTGAAGAAATCGGTGTGTTTCCACCAGACGTTCCTGTTTTTCATTAAGAAATCCCTGTTCCTCCCGAAGAACGTCTTGCTTTCCCAGTGGAAGTCGGTCTCTACCCGCAAGATCCGCATGGTTTTTCCTGAATAAATCGATGTTTCTCCATAACAGCTTCCTGTGTTGGCGTGTACAAAGCTGTGTTTCTCCATTTCAGTAGAAACCGGTGTATACCCACAAGAACGTCACGTTTTTGCAACAGAAATGGTTTTTGTCCATAAGAACTTAATGTGTATTCATGAGAAGTTGGTGAACACCAGACAGTCATGCTTTCTCAGTAGAAATTGGTCTCTAACGGTCACAAGAACGTTGTTTTTCATTAAGAACATGTTTCATTACACAGTGTTTTCACAACACAACATGTGTTCGCAAGAACACAACATGTGTTCGCAAGAACACAACATGTGTTCGCAAGAACACAACATGTGTTCGCAAGAACACAACATGTGTTCGCAAGAACACAACATGTGTTCGCAAGAACACAACATGTGTTCGCAAGAACACAACATGTGTTCGCAAGAACACAACATGTGTTCGCAAGAACACAACATGTGTTCGCAAGAACACAACATGTGTTCGCAAGAACACAACATGTGTTCGNACACAATGTTTTCATTAAGAATAACTTTAGATAATTTCGTGAAGAAATCCCTGCTGTTTGTTGAAATCCCTGTTTTTTTAGTGAAGTAATCCATGAATGTCCACAAGAACCGCATGTCTCTTCTGAAGAATCTCAGGTTTTCTCCTGAAGAAATCCATATTTCTCCAAAAGAGCTTCGTGTTTATTCATGAAG